GGGTCGGCTTGTCTCCAGCATGTTGGCGCCATTTAACTTCTTTAGCTCTGACACCAGCTCAATATTACTCCTGAGAGGGAAATCTTGGCCACAGAGGTTGATGACATACTTCCACCTGACCTTTGACCCCAAAAGGTCAGACAGACAGTTCAGATCCGCCATTAGTCGACTGATGCTTGCGTAATAGACAGTCTCTCGCCTGGAGACGATGAAAACGTTGGGCAAACAGCGGGCCAAGCCCTCCATGGCTGAGATGAACTGAGCTGAAGACTTCTGGTCATAGTGGATACAGTAGATATTACTGGGTGAGTACACGGCTCTGATGAGCCTCTCTACCATCCATGCAGATTTATGCACAACCAAAGAATAAGCAAGAGGGAAGTCGTTCTCCTCCTCTGAGACGCACACGTCATCGTAACCTCTGTGTCTGATGAAAGATGAACAGTCCGAAGTGAGGTGAATCAGACTTTCTTCCTCGTCCTCCACGATGTGTTTCCGTCTGATGATCAGAGATTTACCCACCTCCACTGGGTCCATGTCATATATAGCAGCGCAGTTAACATCGTATTTGTGAGGCGTCTGATTCCCCCCTAAAACTTCCAGACGAGGTAAAGGTTCAGTATAGTTGTACTTCACTCTAACCAAGAGCAGGACGCATAAGGCTAGCAGAGCAAAGGAAGTGATAAACCTCTTTCTTCTTAATGTCAGCAGTGGTGGTCTTTTTTTCATTCTGTGATGACAGAAAACACAATGAGCAGAAACGGAAACCGACGCTATCAGTGGGATTCCATTGAACTAACTGATAATCTAAGCGATAAACCTATATCCAAATGTGCGGGATAGGGTTCAATTACTAAATGCACACTCACCTTGCTCTTCACGCAGGCGTCAGTCTGCCAAGCGCCTTACAAACTGCTTCATTAAGTCGCACTCTCAAAGTTGTAGAAAGGAGGATAAATTCAGATTTAGCACACGTTTCCGCTCTTGGCTGCTCCCAGAGAAAGCAACAACTTACCAATGTCAGAAGAAATAACAAGCAGGGATAGTTATCTTCCGTATTATTACACTTTTTACGCACGACCGGTCGCCCGTCAACTCGAACCATTTCACTGTTAATCCTACTCATACTACATAGTTTTCTGGCGCAGAGAAAGGTTCAACAAGCCCTACTGCTGCGAGTTTCACTATGTGCTCTCTTTTTGTCTCTATGAGGACAGAACAGCATTAAAGAATAACCCGGAAAGAGGGAGGGACTCCATCCATCCATCCATTTTCTAAACCGAGTCCCAAACGGGGTCACGGGGGGCTGGAGCCAATCCTAGCCAGCTGCGGGCGAAAGGCGGGGTACACCTTGGACAGGTCGCCAGCCCATCGCAGAGGGAGGGACTCGTGGGTGGATAACTGTACAAATGCACATAAGAGCAGCAAAAATCTAGTTTGTCGGCTCATATATCACCACCGGTTTGATCCAAGCCCAATAATATATGTAGCATTCTGTAAAAATAAATAGAGAGCGCAAATAAAGTGCTGGAGCTGTGGGTACAGTTATAATAGTGGTCTACCATCTATAATAGTGGTCTACCGTCTATAATAGTGGTCTACCGTCTATAATAGTGGTCTACCGTCTGCGGATGAAGGATGAAAATCTCGCGGTGGGAGCCATCTGAGCCCCAAGAAAAAAAGTGAGGAGCTCAAACATTCACTCGGGAAGGTTTCACAATCTTTCTAAGCAAGGTTAATTTCCCCCCTGAGAAAAAAAGATCAGGAGGAAATGAACAAACCTGTTCATTATTTTCAGTAAACCAGATCCAGATCCAGTAAGACGTATAGTCTCAATACCTCCATTGTTTGTGCGCATAATCTTGGGTCTCTGCCAGAGGAGAAAGGGAACTAGAGATAGTTTTTAGGAAACTGAAAGCAGCACGTAGACGCCAAAAACTAAAACAGGCACGTTGTCTACCATGTGTTGGTTTCTGAAGCTGTTGTCATCATACAACAATGTATTCTGACGCACTCAGGATGTAACTGTGTTATAGACTGTGGCTGCTCAGAAATGACTGTAACAGAATGAAGAGATGGGATCAGTGTTGTTTAAAGTGATCTTTATATATTGTAAAATAGTGCTTAGACCTCTGGATGGAGGATCTACTTGTGATGTATAAATAGCATGGTGATTATTTGTAGTAACCTAATGATTAAGGCTATTCTTCTAAATGCCACTGAGAGTATGTGGTTCCTTTTTGTGGTTTATGTGCTTGAATGCAGTCACCCCAGTCTGGAAATTATTGCAACACAGTTAACCTTCTCTGCCAGAACCAGTTTAACCTGTTAGGAGGTAGGGGTACTAACCCCTGTCAAATAATTACTACATCACAGTTGTAAATCTTCTCTGTCATAGCCGGTTTAAAATCTGTTAGGGTGCATGTGCAGGGCAAACATATGCTGCAGCTAAAATATACCACCCACCCACCTGCTGTGCATTCTGATTAGATGGTATCCTCCAAGTTCACAGGCGGTGGTAATTGGATTAAACACAACTTCACGAATATAGACAAATATAAACAAGGTCTTAAAACTATGCTTTGACATGAGACCCCTGTACTCTTCATAGTACTATAATGGTAAAAATATGTATTATACACTCATCAGCCTTAACATTTGTGTTTTGACATTCAAAATGTTTCAGCTTTCGCTGAAATTGTCATAAATATAAATTCAATTATACATATGTTTATTATTGAGGTTATAGTTAAAGGTGGTGTTGTACTGGACAACATGATATTCAGAGGTGTCCCTAATATTCTGACCCTATCGTGTATGTAGCTGGGGAGGACTAAATGTTTCAGTTATATAATATCTGAAACAGTTTTGCAATTAAAGTAATTAATTTACACCTAGTAAGTCAAGAGCTCTTGGAGCCTCTTTTCTTTGTATGAACACTGACCTGTTTTGTTTTGTTTTGTTTTATTTGTTGTAATATATAGTCTTTAGTTTATTTTGTGATGGATGCTCTTTGATGCAGTGCTGCTGAGCCCAGGAAGAGTTTTTCTAATGACACAGTAATGTACTGTATGTCTCATCTTAAGTTATGTACAGTAACTTGTGCAAAAGTCTAGTCTCTAAAAGTAAAGTGAAGATGCTGGAGAAGCTGGCACAGTTCCTGTCTCAGTGTCTTCTGTCTCTTTATGTTATCCCAGACTTCCCAATTTCCATGATGTTTAAATCAGGGCTCTGTGGGAACCAGAGTATTTGTTCTTCTTGTCTCTGAACATGATACTTTATGACTCTGGCAGGATGTTTGGGCTTATTGTCATGCTGCAGAATGAATATGGGACCAATCAGATGCGTCCCTGATGTTACATCACGATAAGAATCTATACTGCCTAAAAACCTTTCCACAATATTGTGTATCCAGGTTACATATTCCAGGCTGTTGTGACTGATTACCTTTTCATTTGACTTGCATATGACAGAGAACGTAAACGTCCACCCTCTAGTGGCCAAACAGTGTTAATGCATTTTATATACAGTATATATACTGTATATATATAAACCTTTTTTAATGGTTTATATTTCCTGGCAGCTGCAGGTTGAAATGCACATGTATGTGTGTGTATATAATAATTAGTAATTGTATATCTAACACCTGTATATGAGAAACTATGTAATTACAACAAAACAACTTTTAAAGCTTAAAAATGTCATGTTATTTGAAATCATTTTCAGAGCCTTCAACAATGTGTCACCTTTGCCCAACTTTTAAAGCTTAAAAATGTCATGTCATTTGACATCATTTTCAGAGCCTTCAACAATGTCACCTTTGCCACGCACCCTGACGTTAGGTTTACGTTGCGGCCTATGACGTCAGGATTTCCGCAACGCCATGTTGGTTTCGAAGTGGTGGCTATGACGGCTTTGTGAATGTGCAAGGGGACTTATTATTATGGAAATATCTCTCTGACCACGGTGAAACTTGCCTTCGGAAGTACGTGAGGTTAATATTTTGTTAATAGACTGTATCAAAGTTTTATAGCGATGCAGTGAACGTTTGACCTTGGTCACTGGTTGTGCCAAGTCAGTCGGGCGTGACAGCTAATGCTAATAGTAGCTAAATCGTAGCTAATGCTAGCCAACAACTGTAACTGTCAGTGTAAACCTAGGAGCTACGAAATCCACCCAGCGGTTTAAGGGGAGATATCTCCTGTCGTGTATGTTAAAGAAAACACCGGAGTGAGTCGGCAAATTTAAAACTAAAGGCTTATCTTCCACGTTACCAAGAAGAGGCTAGCTTTAACTAGCTATATTGCGGTCTTAGAGCTGTCAGCTAGCGTTATATTTGTCATCTAAGCCACAGCAGCTACAGTTTGCGGAAACATTTGCTAATGTTATCTCGGTCTTGGAAATTAAGTGAGTCGCATCTTGTTTCACTGACCGCAAATTGTGGGTTTATGTTCTCATCCTTTCTAGTACAGCTGAAACTGTGACCAGATAGCAGGAAGGCATCCTGAGACCATGCTGGCACGTCTGTTCAGGCTCCATGGTCTGCTGGTGGCTTCCCACCCATGGGAGGTAATAGTGGGCACCCTAGCTCTCACCGTCTGCCTCGTGTCCATGAATAACCTGTCAGCCAGCAGCCAGGTGTGCAGCTGGAATGAATGCCCCAAGGCCGAGGAGGTGAGTCCGTCAGAGAGGAGGCAGGAGCAAAAGAAATGTATTGCTCAGGTGAAGTCTAGAGGCTTATAAGAAGACGTCTGTATGTATTTTCTTACAGAAGATCCACAGCAGTGACATAATCATCCTAACAGTCACACGCTGCATGGCCATCCTTTACATCTATTTCCAGTTCAAGAATCTACGACAACTGGGATCCAAATATATACTGGGTCAGTGTGGTGTTGTAGCATGTTCTGCATTCAACTCTAATTGTTTGCTATGTATATTCTACAAACTATATATATTTAACTGTCAGCTTTGTGTTTTATCCCTCTCTACAGGTATTGCAGGGTTATTTACAGTATTTTCCAGCTTTGTTTTCAGTACAGTGGTCATCCACTTCTTTGGGAAAGAACTGACAGGCCTAAAGTAAGTGTTCATCCACACTAATGTGTTGTTCTGTAGCCTGTAGCCAGATCATTGAATTAATATCTTGGTTCATAATCTCTTGCAGCCAAGAGGCTTTTTAGAGGGAGAAATAAACACCTGTTTGTGTTCAGAGTGTTTGAGGTTATTGTGTGTGGGGAATTACAGGTGCTACAGCAAATTTTTTCAATAAATGTAATAAAACTACAGTATAGTGAAGTGCACAACAGAATAGTAATAATAATAATAAATACATTCATAGTAAATATAATAGTGTGTGTAGTGAGTTGTGAGGTTGACAGGTGTCAAAAGGTCAGTCTGTAGTTACGGAGCTGATGTAGGTTGTGCAGGCTGTTGGCAGCAGTCTGCAGTAGTGCTCTTTCAGATGGAGCAGCCTGACACAAAGGTGCTACTCAGGGTGTCCTGTAGCGAGTGCAAGGTGTTGTCCCATAATGGCCAACAGTTTGGCCATCATCCTCCTCTCTCACCTCCTCTGCTGCATCCAGAGAGGATCTCAGTCTCTTTCTGCTGCTGTGACACCTCTGCCCCAGCAGACCACAGCACAGTGGCTGATGCCACTACTGAGTCTTAAAGCATATCATTCAGAATGTAATAGCTATGCCTGTATTTATTTGTTACCTAAACAGAATGTTGCATTATTTACAGGGTGATGTGAAAATGTTCAAAGAAGCAGTTTTTAAACACCACTACCCAGATAGTATTAGATTTGTAATTAACACAGTTCTCATGCAATAGTATGCTGGTGAGATCAAAATGTTAATAAACACGACTGACATTCAGCCCTTTTTTAATGGTTTATGTATCCTGGCAGCTACAGGTAAAATGTTAAGCACATATGTTAATATGGGAGAGATATGCTGCAAAATCAGAAGCTGTGCATCACATTAATCATGATTCATTTGATCAAGTGCAACATCGAAAATATCTCTACACTGATCTTGTGGCTGTAGTGAAATAGCCCACTGTCCTTCCCTGATGGTTGTTTGCCTGTTTTCCCTCCAGTGAAGCTCTGCCCTTCTTCCTCCTGCTCATCGACCTGTCCAAAGCCTGTGCCTTGGCCAAATTTGCCCTCAGCTCAAACTCTCAGGTAATATCACACACCTCATGTCAAATGAACTGTATCTGTACTAAAATCAGTTTATTCATATGCAAATTGTAGTTGAGGTGTCCCTGAATAGTGCTGTGGCTTGTGCCTTGTGTGTAGGAGGAGGTGAGGGAGAACATCTCCCAGGGCATGGCCATCCTGGGCCCCACCTTCACACTGGATGCACTGGTTGAGTGTCTGGTCATTGGAATTGGCACCATGTCAGGTAACACTGCTCTTTCTTCACTTCCAAAACATTGGCCACAATGTTCTCTGTATGAAATATTTTAGAGGAACATAATATCAGTAACATTCTCTGTTTTCCAGGTGTGCCTCAGTTAGAAATCATGTGCTGTTTTGGCTGTATGTCAGTACTGGCCAATTACTTTGTCTTCATGACTTTCTTCCCTGCGTGTGTCTCCCTGGTCCTGGAGGTAAGAATGAGATGTAGCCTGACAGCGGTGTGAGATCTTGTGTCTCCCAGTGAATTTCTGTGTGTGCTTATATATGTTTGTGTGTCTAGCTGTCCAGGGAAAGCCGGGAGGGCCGGCCCATCTGGCAACTGAGCCACTTTGCCCGCGTGCTGGCTGAAGAAGAGGACAACAAGCCCAATCCTGTGACCCAAAGGGTTAAAATAATCATGGTGAGAACTGTCTTCAACTTTGCTAGTGCAGATATTACATTTGAGAACATGGTACTAAATACTAAAACAGTAAAGTACTAAAGCATTAACCACCTGCTATCCCTCTGGTTATTAACTGTTATTCACTAACTATGTAATGAAGGCAGTGCTCAGACTAATGAGGCTTTCTGTCTGATGTTATCGATCAGTCTTTGGGCCTGGTTTTGGTTCATGCCCACACCCGACTGGCAGCTGAGCATCCAGGTCAGAATCGCACACTGGAGGGGTCAGTTGCAAAGAGACGGGAGTTTGGTGGTACCATGTGGCCTCTGAAGCTCGCTAGGTGAAAGAATTAAAGATCGGTCTTTCCATAAATACGTTAGAGTATCACTGATACCTGTGGAATAACCTGCTGATGCACCTGTCTTTACCTCTTACCAGTGTGGACCTGGAACAGGTGATAACCCTGGGTCTGGCCCTGCTCCTGGCTGTGAAGTACGTCTTCTTTGAGCAGACGGAGACTGTGTCTTCCCTCTCTCTCAGGAGTCCCATGATTAGCTCCTCTTCAGCACAGAGGCCCAGAGTGGTGGAGGACTGCTGCCAGAGGGATCTTTCAGGCTCAAAACCCCAGAAAACCATGAACAGTAGCTCAATAACCAGCCCCGCCTCCCCAGCTGTCTCAGACTCTAAACCTTCCCCCGAGGCTGATGTGGTGTTCAAAGCTACAGGTGAGATTTATAACTGGCCCTGCTGTGCATTAATAACCTCAGTCCTCACTAATAGAAAACCAATTTTTGATGTAACTTTGTTCCTTAACCTAAGCTGTGTCTCGCCTGACTTCCTACAACAGAGGTGACTCAGCCATCGGCATCCTTGGTGGAGAATGGCCCCTTTGTTTCATTTTCTGTGGGTTCCCTTGTTCAGACGCCTTGCGTACCTCAGTGTAGCTCTAACTGTGAGCCCCGGACGATGGAGGAATGTGTGGCCATCCTCTCTGATCCTCAGGTGACATGCCAGATCAGATTGAAAGTGCAAAGTATGTTCAGTATCGTTTGCCTGAAAGTTTAATAAATCACTGGTTTGCCCTCAATGCCTTCCAGAGAGGTGCTCGTTTCCTCAGCGATGCAGAGGTGATGAACCTTGTCACTTCACGTAACATCCTAAACTATAAGCTGGAAGCTGTCCTTGAGACTCCAGAGAGAGGCGTGGGCATCAGGAGGGAAATGTTAGCATCCAAACTACCTGTTCCCTCAGCCTTGGATTGTCTGCCTTACAAGGACTATGACTATTCTAAGGTGCAGGCAACATGCTTATTTGTAAAATGTGTAGTGCTGTATATTGTTAAAAGTGCAAACCTTCCCCTTTGATGGGTGTCTAAGTCTAATCTACTAGCATATTCACTTTCTCTCATTTTTGACATTTTTGTGTTAATGTTGCGGTTGCGACAGATTTTATTCAGCCTGCCTTTGTGTTCTTGTTGTGCAGGTGATGGGTACTTGCTGTGAGAATGTCATCGGCTACATGCCGGTGCCAGTAGGAGTGGCCGGTCCACTTCTGTTGGACAACAAACAGTTTTATGTTCCCATGGCGACCACAGAGGGTTGTCTGGTAGCCAGCACCAACAGAGGCTGCAGGGCACTTTCTGTACGTGGGGAATATCAGTCTGTAGCTGTTGTTGGCTGTGTATTAATGTGCGAGTGTGCTGTGCTGACTCTCTCATCCTTCCTGTCCAGCTGAGCAGGGGCTGCCGCAGCAGGATCCTAGCAGACAGTATGACCAGGGGTCCTGTGGTGAGGCTGCCCTCAGCGTGCCGGGCTGCAGAGGTCAAAGTCTGGCTCGAGACCCCGGACGGATTCGGGCTGATCAAAGAGGCCTTCGACCAGACCAGCAGGTCTGACTGGATCCAGTTTCCTTTGGTTACATCTATAAAGTGATTTTCTAGTAGCGATACACAGATCGATTGGTGGAGATCAGAAATGGTCCGTTTTCAGCGTGATCAGCCTTGACCGGCGACCAGCCGACTTTGACATTTCCGATTCTTTGTGCTGATCAGATTTAGAGGCACAAGCATCCACATTGCACACATAGTGACACAGACTAAAAGTGTAGTGTGTGCAGAGCTTAGTATCTCGCATGCACCTCGAGTGAGGCTCATGCTCTTGTCTTTACCGGGTGCATTGGAAGTGCTTGGTGCACAGAGGAGCCTATAGAAACAGCTTGGAGAAGGGAAACTACGTCCAAATCTCTGACAAATAGTACACAGTGAGGGAATTACTGGCTACACATGAAATACATGTATATGTACAGTGTATCCAACCTGTGGTAAAACACGGCAAATGGAGAATACACACACCTCAAAAAGAACTGCGCTCAGTAGGACTGATTTAACAGACGTTCTTCTGTTTCTGTTACATGTGCTTATATTTGGAGATGCACAAATATTGCACTTCATTTTTAGTTGGAGGTTTATGGAGAAAATAGTAAGACTGAAATGTACAACTTTTATTACAATAAACATTTTCCATTAAAGATAAGTTACAAATATGTGTGTGTGTATGCTGTCAATTACATTTCTTAGAGAGAAAATTAGAATTATATATATATCAGAAATTAGAATCGGCCAGGAAAATTGCAGTCAGTGCATCTCTATTTTCTAGCACATCAGGATCTGCAGATCATCAATAATCATCTGCATGTTCTAGGTTTGCCCGCCTGGAGAAGCTGTTAGTGAGCTTAGCAGGGAGGAACCTGTACCTTCGCTTCCAGAGCCAGACAGGAGATGCCATGGGAATGAACATGCTTTCAAAGGTACAGCCAAATGCTGTGGAGCAGTCAGGAGTCACTGCAGTTTGAATTCCATTTTCACATCTGTTTCTAGTCAGCCTAATGTTTTTTTTTTCCCTTTACATCTTCTCCAGTACTGTAAATTATATAATAACAATGTGTTTGTATGTGCTGTTTTGTGCAGGGGACTGAGCAGGCTCTGCACAGGCTGCAGCAGCAGCATCCAGACATGGATGTGCTCTCGGTCAGTGGTAACTATTGCACTGACAAGAAGTCAGCTGCCATAAATTGGATTCTGGGCCGTGGCAAGTCTGCTGTGTGTGAGGCCACGATCCCGGCCAAGGTGGTCAGAGAGGTAAAGCCAGCTGAAACCAGTCAAACATGTTCGTTTGCCTTGCTCTGCGCTGCTGTTGGTACATACCCTGCTTACTAACACAACCTGGGAACATATGTGTAGGTGCTGAAGACCAGTACAGCTGCTCTGGTGGAGCTAAACATCAACAAGAACCTGGTGGGCTCGGCCATGGCTGGCAGTATCGGGGGCTTTAACGCTCATGCTGCCAACATTGTGGCGGCCATCTACATCGCCTGTGGACAGGTAATGGCTCAATCACCTTGACATACTGCATTCTGTGTTCATTTTCCAAGTGACTGAGAATGAAGATGGAGCAGCTGCACAGACGCTGTCAAAGTCACATGGCAAAAAAAAATACGTGTTGTGGTGATTATCAGTGTATCACTGCTGCTGCTCATTAATACTGTGTTGCTGCATGTCAGGATCCAGCTCAGACGGTGGGAAGTTCCAACTGCATCACTCAGATGGAGCCTGCTGGTCCACAGGGGGAGGACCTGTACATCAGCTGCACTATGCCCTCCATAGAGCTGGGCACTGTGGGAGGGGGCACCAACCTGCCGCCACAGCAGGCCTGTCTACAGGTAACAGCGTCTCACCTTTTACAGAACAGTCTTTTTCAGTTTCTGAAATCTTAGAAAGTATGTTAGTTCTTGTGACAGCGAACCTGCAAGCTTTTTTTTTGCATTCTTTTCATTCCTTCACTTTAGAAATGAACTGAACTTACAGCAGATGAATGGAGAAAAAAGTTTTGCTAACAAAGACATTATAGTAGGAAATAACTACAGAAATTATGAGTTGGTATGCATAACAAGAAGAGCTTTAAAAAGCAGCTCAGAAATGACTGAACTTGTTGGACTAAAGTAGAGTTGCATTAGTACAATGCAGTGTCCCAGTGGGTTTCACAGTTGCTAACAGTGATTTGACTGATTCCACGTAGAAAGATAACGTATAACTTGCTGGGAACTGTTTGTCTAAGCAGGAACAATTGAGAAAAGGATCCGTCTTTTCTGATTTGGTTATTCAGTTTACACTTTGGAAATCACTGTATGTCTGTGTTATATAGATGCTTGGCGTCCAAGGTACCAGTCCCAGCCAGCCAGGCGAGAACGCCCGGCAGCTGGCCCGCATCGTTTGTGCCACTGTGCTGGCAGGGGAGCTCTCCCTCATGGCCGCTCTAGCCGCCGGACACCTCGTCAGGAGCCACATGACCCACAACAGGTTCAGTATTTTACTCTGTTTTAGGGGTGTAACGGTTCACCAGACCCAGAATGAGGAAAAAAAAGGTAAAAAATGTATGGGTTTACTAAAATCACCAACAATGAGGAACACTAAAGAGAACGGCTTAACAAACTGTAAACACTAACTGATGGTTTGTGGAGAAGAATACATCAATTCTTTTAATGATAGCCTAACTAATTTCACTCAATTCAGTTACACATTGATTTTATTGCTGTAGTTTGTGAAGAAAAACTATCAGACATCTTTTCAGATCCACAACTGCAACAACACAGCAGCTCCAGTCTAGGGAGCACAAACCCAGACTGTAGACTTGATTCGTTTTGGTTTCAGAACCGTTACACCCCTGCTCATTTTCTTTTGGCTCAGTAAATGTAGTTTTCGCAGTGAGTGCTAACTTTGTTCTGTTTACTCGCTCCTAGATCTAAAATAAACCTGTTAGAGACTGCTCAGTCAGAATCAGAGACCAATGCGTGACAAAGCGAGAGCAAACGAGCGCTCCAGACAACGTCCCTGTGAGAAATGAGTGCATTGGGTGGTGCAAGCAGTCAGCACATGGTGAAGACCTCAACCAGTGTGAGCTTGCTTTGTGTGTTGCACGGCTGCTTGCTACACCACTTCCTGGCTTCAGATAATATGTTGGTGCTGTGCATTTGTCTGCATCTTAACGTTGCAATAGTGTTGGAGAAACGCCTTTGCTGTTGGTACTGGTCTTTGCTTTGGACTGGAGAAATCCAACATGCTGTATAAAGTCTTGAACAAGTATCCTGTGCCTCTGAACATTGTAGAGCCAAAAGCTTTTCCCATTATCCATGGAAAGACAGCTCAGCTGTAACCTTGGCTTTTCTCTGAGAAACAGATCTTTGCACTTGCCAAATGCTTGCTTGAGACAGATGGCGTTGTTACTGCATTTGGTGACGTTAGTTTAAAATGCCACTTTTCTGCCTCTTACTCTGTTGTAGGCTGTCACTTGTACAACCCTTCCTGAATTAAGGTGCTACTGTAGACTGCCTGTGGCTGCTGGGCAGCACCTGGCCTTAGAGGGGTGCGCTTGCTCTTTGTGACTAAACCCTGAAAAATCCAAGCCATACAAATTTGTGTAATAAACCTTTATGGTACATGACTTATTGCCATGGTGGAAGTATTAAAGGCATCACTGCCTGACACTGCTAATTCTTTTTGGAAAGCAGGCGAGTTGAGAAGTTGAGCCTTAGCATATTCTAGGTAGAATATTTAATTTTAAGCTATTAATGTCAAGATTGTACAGTATTTTATTTAAAAAATAAAACACTACATTCCCTCCTAATGATGTCTCATTTGTCTTTCTAATGCACAAATGGTTCTGACCATGGAGAACTGGAGGATAAACTTTATTTCACTTTTAAAACAGGGCACCACCAGTGCCATGTTGTCACAGTACATGTGTAAGTTAATCCCACAGCATTAATATGAACAGTATTTACCAAAATGTATTTCTATTTACATTCAGCTTTAACAGCATGCTAATAGCTAAGGTTGTATTAGAACCATCTGAGGTGAAAGAGCTTCAGCCGCCATCTGGCTTCACTGTCTCTCACCCAGACCTGTCTGCTCCAAGCTCAAAAATCAGAAGGCGTGAAACAGCTGGTAAAATGTATACACCTATTGTTGATATAACAAACTTTTTTTTGTCCAGTGGTGAAAACCTTAGCTTGAAATTTGTTGTCTGGAAATTATGGTAAAACCTCAAACGTAGAGTGAAAAGGTGAGTTTGCACATGGATTTGATGCTCCACAAAATCTTTTTTTGGCTTGGCCTGAATAAAAAATTTTTTTAATCTAATTAGTGTGTGAGCTCTAATCTTTGTACTCCGCTAGCATCACTCCTCTGCCTGAAAACTGTACTCATAAAAATGCTTTGTGATGTTTCTATTTTAGCCTCTCGCCTGTAAAACTGCAGACCAAGTCCAGAGTTTTACACCAAAACATCTTAAGATGAGCAAATTAAACTTCTTACCGTGTGCCCTTGCTGAACTTTGGACCTGACAGCCACAAGGGGCACTTCACTAGTGATATTACAGGTGCACTAACAGCAGCCTCTGTCCCATCTGAAGCTAGAATTTCCTGCAACATTAAGGCATTTGGGCTCGACTTGGTCACAAAAACTAAAAATTTGCAGACATTCAGAAAAATGTTGACTGTTTACAAAACATTCAAAATACAGTTGTATGCAGTGATGCTACAACATTAACAGTAATTCAAATATAAAGCAAAGCAAATAATGTACAGGACATGAACTCTTTGTACATTAAATATAAGAAAAGCTCTTTGCGACTTTGTCCCTGCCTCAGCACCAGTAACAGGTGTTTTCATGAGCGAGACATAGGGGCTGTGAGTTGACGACAGCCCTCTGGTCTTCATAGAAACACGATGATATTCATCTTAAATCTCTGATGTTTAACTAGCAAAAGTTAGCAGCTTAAAAAGAAAGCTGGGAAAAATATGAACTATCAACATATTTACTAAATATTTCAGTCTATTAGCGAAGATCTTTATTTGTACAAACTTCTTATAGAACATACATTTATATATTAATATACTGACAGCAGGGAGACCACCGAACATGTCAGTTCTCAGCTGTGATGAGAAGCATCTGCAGAACTTGGGTGCACTCATCTCAGGACACAGGAAAACTCACTGAATTTTCAATAATCTTTTGATTACCACCAATTTATTAATTAACCTACAATGAACGGGCAAAAAGTAATTGCTGCTGAAATGTTGATAATGGTACAAGTTTAAAGGGTCGTCTCCCAGCTGTTTGAATGTAACCACCAGAGGGAACCAGTACAAACATTTCTCCCCTACTGGAACTAACTAGTAGCCAAGAACTGGGACAAAACAGACTGGACTGGTCGGGCGGCAGGGCAGCTCTCATTTTGCAGATAGTGGATCCTCAACGTTTCATGGGGACATCTGTCCTTGTGTGTCAACACTGGAAAGATGGAAAACCTTTATATTGACCTTTGCAGGTTTGTACTATGTAAATGCATGAGAGGTGACAAATGGAAAAGAAAATCTGATTAGTGAAGCACAATTTGTGTTACCTGTGAGCTTCAGAACAAGACGGGTTTGCCAGCAGTTTTTTCCTGGACATAGGACGTGAAGCGCTTGAGGAACTTGGGGTACTCCCTCTTGGCCACGGCCCTGAGCACAGAGGCAGGAGCCCAGCCTAAAAAATTCACTGCGCACACACACACACACACAGAGGATAACATCACTGAGCAAGAAGGTTTGAGTCGATCAGCGCTTCCTGGCACATTATCACTTGTCAAAACAGGTTCGCATAGGCTGTCTTTACAAAGTCAGTGCCCATATTTACTGAGGCTTTTTATATTCAACCATGTACCTGAGTCATTGCAAAGGCAGATTTTAAACTGACCCACAGCTCATTTCTTCCCCAAAAGCACCAGTGGTTGTAGAGGATGCCAGAAGATGTATTCTTTTGCTGAGGACAGTTTAACTGGCTTTGTGCAGGGTTCACCAAGTTCAAGACTTTTTAATATCACCTAGAATCCAATTAAAACTTGTTTCACAATCATACTGTACCATACCATAGTACGGAGGTATGATGGAAGACCAGTTGGGGCGACTAGTAGAGCAGTGGCACAGAATGGCTGCATGGAATAACTAATGGAATGAAATTCCTGTAGTAGCAGCAGTGACTGGTTGGTGCAGGGTTAAACAGCCTCTTGTAGCACAACAATCCGGGAAGAGAGGACTTTTTGTTGAAGAAACTAAATTCAGTGGTTTTAAAACAGGGGTGTCAAACTCAATCTCACGGGGCCAAAACTCAAAGCTCACTTTAGGTCGCGGGCCGAGCAGGATAAACATTTATTGAACAGACTAAAACTAAACATTTTTTGAACATATCATCATGCAGCTCTTCAGAAACTCTCCCTCGGTAAATGTCCGGGCTCATTTTCTCCTCTCCACAATAAAACTACAGCAGCTTCACTGTGTGATTTGATGTCAGATTCCTCTTCAACTCCTCTACCTTCTGTAGCTTCTGCTCTGTATTCATGTTTTTCAGCTTGTCCTGATGTTTTGTCTCGTAGTGCCGTGTTAGGTTATATTCCTTAATTACAGCCACATTAGCTCCACAAATAAGACACACGGGTTTACAGACAATGTCAGTAAACATATACTCAGCCTCCCACCGGTTTAGAAAGGCTCTGTTTTCAGAATCAACTTTTCTCTTGGCCATTGTTGGGGGCTAGCTTTGACTTGAAATTAGGGTTGTATACATCAACAGACGCTTGATCTGATCCGATGTAATTGATGTGGGAATGATCGCAGGTAGCCTATCGTTCGGTAAGGGAGCTGTTTGCGCTGCATTATGGGATTTGTAGTTTGTGTTATAGGTGCTTCATATTGCTGGGCCATTTAAAAAAAAAAAAAAGAAAGAAAAAAAAAGATATATAAAATAATCTCACGGACTGGATGTAATTGTACGCTGGGCCAGATGTGGCCCGCGGGCCTTGAGTTTGACACGTGTTTTAAAGCCTTTTCAATCACCATGATCATTAACACCAATCAACTGAACTAAAAACACGCTATAGACATACCGTTGGCGACATAGGTGATTTTACACACAATGTTGTCCCTGCTGATTTGTCTGCCTGCCTCTGGGGGGCTGACTAGGGTCTGACAGATCATGGCAATGTTGATTTTGGCACGGACACACCTGCTGGTCAGCTGTGGAAAGTGACAGGACATAGGATCAACTAAAGCAGCAATGTCATAAATAAACTCTGTAAAAGCTGCATTTCCTGTCTGACACCTACAATGGAACCAAACCGACTTGTGGCTCACCTGAGCATCGTCATGATCCACAGAGAAATTGCACACCAGCCAGGTTTCTGGGCTGTTCTCACTGTTGGCCAAGATCTTCCTCATGGCAGACAGGTAGAGCACATCCCTCTGAGAAGCAGGCCACACCCGCTGTAACACAGGTTTAACAAATCATATACAAAAGGTGATTAATATCCACTGTCCTACAAGTGTGGTCACTGTGTCTACGACTGCAACTCTTACCTTGTGCAACTGATAGACAATCGCAGCGTTTTCGGACAACGTCTCCACGACCTTGAAGCTGTCAATGGTGGCTAAAGGAAGCAGGAAACATCATCATGCCAAGTGTCGGTTTCAACAGTAAATCGTTTCTAAATACTGATTTAGAGTTTAGAAAACCTACTCTCCCAGTCGTTGCGGTAGGTGGTGTCCCAAAAATAGTGACAGACTTCGCGACCGGTCACCCCCCTTACTGAATGGGTGGCCTTCAGCGGGTCCAAAACTAGCCCGTTTTCTTCTACCTCTCTCCTGTACACCTGCAGACACAGGCCAGATTTAAGAAAAACCACATATTCTAATTAAATACTTGTATAAATCTAGTAGACTCTGGGTCGCTGATGCATTCCAGATACTCATCATACCTTCATTTCTCCTTCTTCTACAACCAGCTGCCAGTTGGCGTCTCCACCAACATCCTGCAGGGAGTAGGTCATGTGATTCTGCACCATCTCCTCCACCTAAAACACAAGGCCAGGGTCAGAAAAAGGAGGAAACACTGATGTAAAGACAACATGAAATTGTCCTCAGATATCAGAATGAGAACAAAGAGAAAAGCAGAACTGCCTTTCAAGCTGAGCCTAATGAACACAACACCACTTAGCATTTGATAGATGCAAGCTAGGCACCTCCTCACTAAGGAAACAGCTGCAGAGCCTAGGTGCTGTGTCCACTGACAGATACTTTTCCAAGAACACAACTCTCCAGCACTTTAAAGTACAGTATGTGACTGTACAGCTTAAAGTCTATTTCAATTCCAGGCATGGATCAGAAAGGTAAGATGGACAGATGTAGGTGGAACACGTGGCATAGTCAGTGTAGCTTGTACAGTTTTACAGAGCGAAGGGTTTAACAACCTTGTCAGAGAATCTGTGAGAGCCGATGCTGGAATAGACGTCTCCACAGGGGACGGGGCTGGATCTCTGTATCCTCGTCTTTTCAGTTTGAGACTGGACACAGACACAGATGCTTTCATCATAAACCTGACAACAAAACTTTATTCTCTCCTGTGTGAATTATACCACCTTCAAAGCATCTCATCACTCTCAGCTACACATTTAACATGACTGCTGCAGGTATCATTTTTTTATGTAAACACTGCCCCTCACCTGTTCCTCAATTTTGTCCTGTCTGTCAAGAGCAGCTTCAACTGCATCAAAGAATTCGTCCTCATTGATGAGGCTGTTTGGACCCTCCTGCAAATAAAGTGGAAAGGAAACATTTCTTCAAAAGGTTCTTACACAAACTCATGTTGCATTATGGAAGAATTTATCAGACTTCACCTCATAATCTGGACCTCCGAAGTGAGACTTTTTCTTCAAGTCGTTGAGGACCGATTTATAGCTGTCCTCTATTCTTCGCCTCTTCTCCATCTCCTACACACACAAATCCAGAATCAACAGCCAAAAATGTGGAGGAGCAGCTGGATGACAGAGGACATACAGTGTGCTGACCTAGCATCAGATTGTGCTGTAACTTTCCTTCCTGTCTCAATGTTTTGCAGATGGCTGCATCACTACTGTAGGTAAGATGTAACCCAGTATTTGTTTGAAAGAAGACAACCTGTCACTACTGTATGAGAAATACATGTGTCTGTAACACAGGCTTCCCTTCAGGCATGGAGATGTTACACACCTTATCCAGTCTCTTCTGCCAGTTGTCTTCTCTCTTCACCATGAGGTCGATGCAGTGGGACAGAGTGGCTAGGATCCCCGCTGTGGTGGCCTTGAATGTGATGGCTTCACCCTTAAAATCTATTCCTGTAAAAAAGGCCCAAAGTTTAGTTTTCCTCGCTCACAATTCCATTGATTCCCTTGGGGCTCAAAGACTGGAACACTGCACAAAGCAGCACAGCAAGTAAAGCTGTAAGTAAGTCAAGCTAAAAATGTTTCAGATATGAAACCAAGTTTTCAGGAGCTTTAAAAAAAGAATTCTGCATTGCTCACCTTTTTCTTTGCTGCCATTGTTGTTATGCAGAAACTCCTCATCTGTCCGGGTGTTGGGGAAGTCATATTCATCATCATCCACAACTGAAAAGAGAGACAGGAAGATTCAGTGAGGAAGTGCAAACAGAAAACTGCTACCAGGCAGCTGCTCCACACAAGCCTTTTCTGGTACTGAAATTCATCCCAAGCTCAGGACAAGGTAACGCCTTGTGGCCCATTCATAGATACAGCACAGTACACCATCAGACTGACAGAAGTCTGCTGTGCTGGACATGACAATGGTCTGGTTTCATCTTCAGAACAGTGAGAGGAAGAAAGAGTGAGGAGCGGAGAACAAAAGCATCCACAGTGCAGTCTGCCATGAGCAAATGTCCAGCCAGCCAAGACAGACTGAGGACGAGGAGGCTTGTACACATTCCTTAGAAGATTCAGGACATGTCTTCTAGACTCCAAATATTTTCAGAATCTACAGATGGGTGACAAATTAAAGGAAAATCCTGAATGAGTGGAAATAAAAAATAAAAAAAAGAACAATCATTGCTTGATGATCTATATTGATCTGTTTATCCCCAGAATGTCAGACACTGGGAAAAAGTCCCACTGTGACTCTCCAGAGCCAAAGGCGGCGTCTTCACATGTTGTGTCCAACCAACAGACCCTCAGAGACTCAGCTGATTCTCATGTCTGACAAAGAAAAGCATCAGCTCCTCACATTAAAGAAGGTGGAACCAGAACATGTCGGTGACTGTTGATTCTAAATAGCTGAGGTTCATTTTCTACCAGTGAACTGACTCATGGCTGCAGCTCTAGGTCACTGAATGGCTTCATGAGGACGACACCATGGGTTGGACACAAAAGGGGGGGGAAGTCTGGTTTGGAAAGAGGAGGCTTCCTCCTCCAACAGAGGAGACCTGACAAGGCTCTGGAGACTTTGCCCTGCTGGTTTGTCCTTTAAGTGTTTTAAACAAGAAAATAATGTTACTTCAGTTCAACTTCATTTATCATAGTTTGGTGGCATACTGTACCATTCTTTTCAGTTTGCTAAACCTAATGCAACAGCTATGCAGGTTAGCTGTAACTAATAATTATTTTCATTCTTGATTCCAAAATCCACCCAGAGGAATAAAAAAAAAAAAAACAACAATTAATTAAATGTGGTTCTCACTTTTGTCTCTCTGCAGCTCATCCTTGGACACATCAGCACAGCTATCAAAGTATTTCTGAAGCGTGTCCACCTGCTTGCACAGGATGTCTCTGAAGGTCTCCATCTCTGCCAGCTTCTCTTTCAGGCTGTGACCCTTCTAGACAAACAAAGCAACACAGCAATTGGGCTTTGATTACTGTGTGTCCCCTCTGACACCCCAGTGTGCTTATATTTCCATAGAACACAAACCAACTGTTCAGTATGCATATGCTGACAAAATAGATTGTTTGCCCAAAACTCCCTCCTGTGTACAAATACAAAACTGGCGCCAGCGGCCTCCTCAGCCAGAGTAAACACAAGGCAGAAAACGCACCTTGAAGGACGATGTGGAGGTGGCGGAGTAGCCGCTGGCAGCTGAGGTGAGAGACAGCATGGAGCCATGTCTCCGCAGACTGGACTCTGACCCATATCCCAAATCGGCCTGTACGAGAAAGGAAAAACACACATGACGAAAAAGAAATAAGTGAGTGGTGCTGTCATAAACTTAATAAAATACATTTATTCATTTTAAACCAAATCAAAGGCATGAAAAAAAAAAAAAAAATCCAGCAGTGACTAAAGCAAACCCACTGACACAACCAATTCATTTTTCACCGAGGCTGATCAAGTACTACATACAGTAGCTGCCCACTACGTTAAACAAGGCTGAAATCGTGGTAGAAACAACAAAAACACCTTTCACAAAGGTTTTCATATCAATACTCTTAATGTTACTCTGAAAGGTTTGACGGGACACCATGACATGACTACAAAAGCACAACGCAAATTCATGGAAACATCCACCGACTTCCCGTAAACGCGAATGGTTCCCCTTTCCTCTTACATAACAGCCTGGCCTTCAAACGAGAACGCTGGTGACAGCAGAGGCAAAGGTTGAGAAGATATACAGGTACAGTCATGGCTAAAAATATTGGCACCCCTGCTTTTCTGTCAGATAATGCACCACTTCTCCCAAAAAACTGCTGCAACCACAAATTCTTTGGTTATTCTCATGTTTATTTCTTTTGTTTGCATCGGAACAACACAAAAAAACTCCAAACATGGACTGGACTGAATTATTGACACCTATTCAAAATAGCCGTATTTCAAACGCGATGCTCCTTTAATTTGTAATGAAAACATGCCTGTAGCAATCAACAGGTGCTGCCAACATAGAAATCACATTCGCAACCAGTTAAAATGGAGAAAACCGAACTGAACCTTTGTGTCACGTGAACCACATTGAGCATGGAGACGGTTGACGGTTTGAGATCCACATTAGTGGAAAAGCCAAGACAATCTCAAAGCTCCAAGTCCATCCCCAGAGATTTGGCTGTTCCTGTGTCCACTGTACGCAACACTGTGCAGCTCATCTCCCTGGACGTGGATGAAAGAAAAGTAAACTGCAACAAGGGACTGTTCAATTGGTGGATAAAGAACCTCGATCAACATCCAAACTGATTCAAGCTGACCTGTAGGCACAGGATGCAGCAGTGCCAGTCCACACTGTTCGTCGCCATCTAAAGACTCCAGTAGAGAGGTGTAAGAAACAAGCTGATGGTTACAGGAAGTATTTGACTTCAGTTATTTTGTTCAAAGGGTGTGCTACCAAATAATAAGTTGAGGGTGTTAATAATTCAGAGTTCTGTGTGAAATGTATCAGATTTTTTTTTTCTTCTGCTTTTCCCATGTTGTTCATATGCAAACTAAAGAAATGAACATGAGGATACCAACAGTTTTCTGGGAGAAGTGGTGTGTTATCTGACAGAAATGCAGGAGTGCCAATATTTTTGGCCATGGCTGTTCATTCCAGTTTCAACCACAAGGGGGCATAAAATGTACAGACGCGTGAGTGGGAGAGCCTAAGGTAACTGCTGAGCAATGACCAGAAGTAACACCGCCTGTGTTCACATGGATTTTAGTCACTGCCGCTCACCTGCTACCCTCTGACTCCATCAGCACAGACAGCACTATGTACCTGGGCTTTATCTGTGTGAGGACAGCCAAAATCCAAGCAAGCAGAGGTTTTATTGCAGCTAAAAATCAGAAAATGTAAAATAAAAAAGCTAAACTGTTACATTTATCAGCTGCTGGGTCTCCTGTAAACAATACTTATACCCACACACACACACACACACACACACACACACACACACACGTACGCAAGCTGCATGCTGCAGAGCAAATACTGCGCAATTGCTCAAGAGTGTCTGGTAATCAAAGCTGCACTGCACACACACACACACACACCACTGATGTTTGACAATAGAAGTGGTAATAAAAAGTGACCTGGAACAGAGAAACATCTCCAAGTCACAAAGTTCTTTTTAGTCCAAAAAAAAAAAAAAAAAAGATGAATATATGACCAGATTGCAGTAAGATGTCCTAATATTGCAGAAATATATACAGTAAAACATTCTTTAATGGGAGGTAGTATCCTAGACACAGGTGTTTTTACACATTTAGATGTTTCACTCTCATGCACTGAAGGAAAACTGCCATGTTAGCTGGAGTGTTGTGTCTCCCTGGAGACCAGGCGCTGCTGAGTAATGTGGGTTAGAAGGGGAAGCAGGTCCTTTCTAAGAAAAGCCTTCAGCGGTGACTCATTACGAGCAGGAAAATGGCCGTGTGTGTGTGTGTGTGTGTGTGTATGTGCACAAGACTGACTCCCCTCTTCCTTTGAGTAATGTGGGCTCCCTGATACTGGGATGAGTAACTGATGAGGGAGGGGGAGGACAGGGATTTCTCAAACTAGGGCCCTGACTGAGTAGCATGTGTTTCTGCAGACAGGCTGAAGGTGTGGCTGCTGCCTTCTTATCTATGTCAGACACACTCACAACTACAGTTCCACTCTGGACTATGTCTGGCTTAGATTAAGACTGTAAAAGATGCTAATTTATTAGCATTACCAGATGAGATTCTTTTCAGCAACAATGCAAAACATATGTGATGGATGGTCAGTGTGTGTATATATCGGACATTTTGTAGATCTTCCCTGTCATTGTCTTCTGCTCAGTGCTTTACAGAAGGGGATGCAACCTGCTTCCTGTGACCTTCATGTGAATAAACAGTGCAGCACTTAAGGGCTGAACTTCTATTCCAACTCTGTAAATTCACATTGTGCTAATAGTTTAGGCAAACAAGAGTAAAAGAACCTTGGCTACCGGCCAGTGCTCGCTGACTCACCTCCCTGACAGGTCAACTTAAACCTTTCAGAGTTGTTCCCAGAAAAACAACAAACGGGATTATCTTCACATAGCTTTCTCAGTTACGTGTGTGTGATTATGCTAACGCTGAGGCCACTGCCGAAATCCAAGGTTGAGATTAACTTTCGCCATGAGTCATGTACCAATAGTGAGCCACCGAAAATTAAGCTATCCACAAAACATGGAGGTTTGTGTGTATACAGTATATGCTTTTATGAGCCAAGATAACACAGGCGCACAGGCTAACACAAACACACTTGCCACTACAGTGCACTGTGCTAAAGACAAGTGAAGCACTCAGTGAGTCCTAGTCCTGCAGACTTGCAAACGCACCAGTGGTGGAGGGATGATTATTGTTCCCTGGACTCCTCCCCTGTCTCTCCTTCCCTCTCTGATACTCTGATAGAAACACACACATGCAGACAATAAAAAACATTCACACATTATTTGTGGAAAATGTGACAAGGATTTGGTTCCTTTGATACCAGCAGTTTGTCTGCTCTGTTGGGAGATGTATGACTTACCCTGTGCAGCTCAATGGAGTCAATCCACTGGTGTCTGTGCTCTGGGTCTTGTGCTCTTAGGTACCACACACTGTCATTTACACTTATGTCGAACCGGCACTCATCAAACTCATGAGGCTAAAAAAAGAAATACACAGAGAAAGCAGACAAAGGACAGAAAGTTAGGTCATACTGCTCTTCATTTTAAGCATCAGTCATGATTATCAAATCTCCTCTCATCAGGTACTGGAGGATTCTGGGTACAGAAACCCAGCTGGCTCGATCTCTGTGATAATGCTGTCACACATTTCTTTGCTTCTTTTAATAGCAAGAGTAAATACAAATCTCTTTCCTGCTCTTGAATTGCAGAAAGAAGCATAGGTGACAGGTGGCGATCCATTTAAACAGCTTTTAAAATGACACTGAAAAGGCAGGATGCTAATTTCTCTCCTGCGTGCAACAATCTGTTCCGGATTTGACTTTGACACCAGGAAACATGGTGACCCACCACAGTCACTGTGGTGTGAACTGTAGGTCTTCCATGTACAGTATGCTTCTGTCAAATGGATAAAAGACGAGAGTGAGTGTACCAGTGGCACAGCAGCCTCCATTTTCAGACACTGTCCCATAGGAGAAGCCACAGATAACTGGCCTTTTAAGGCGACTTGCAGGATGGAGAATATTCCTAGTAGCCCTCCAGCGCACTGTCAGTGCTGGCATGGTCAGGAACCATAGACTGTGTGTGTGTGTGACAGCGATGGCTTTGTCTGTGTAGTATTAACCAAATGCATCAGACATTCTTACAAGACAACTCTACAGTGATGCTAAAATCACTGTCAAGGTCTAATCACAGTGAAAGAAGCAGATATATGAGTGAGCATCTGGCTGCTTCATGTGCAGTAGAGTACACATCCAGACAGGCACTAATACTGCAGTTCAAATGTAAGCTAAAGAAAAACCACATCAGATAAGAGACCTCTACATTCCTATGCTGGCCACAATACAATAAACACATCTGGGATCTCTGTATTTGTATATCTGTAACACACAATAAGTGCAATCATTTACTTTGGAAAGCCAAGAGCCTGCAGTTGTTCATTTCACTGAGGGAGAAACTTGTGACTAAACATGACAACTGTAGTGTTTGTTGATTAATCCAGTGATTTTTTTGATTAGTGAATCAGTAGTGTTGTGAAGTATTAGAATTACATTTTCATTACTCCTATTTACAGCTCTATTTAATCCATACATGATTAACACCACTTAAAAATGTTATTCACCAAGATAAGCTATAATAAAACAGGGTCATAAAATTTTTTTTAATTGCAAGTTCACAACGCAGCATTGCCCACTGAGTGCATGTGCCCAGACAGCCTGAGACCAAAGCATTACTGAAAACTGTATCACTTACTGGGCTGGCAGAGTAACAAATGGCCCACTATGGTGTCTTTAAAGACATTTCAGTGGAGGAGTGCAACTTGGCTGCCCTGCCTGACACCTGGAAGGTGCCGAGGCCAACACCAGATGCTCAGTGTCAATAATTCACAGCATGATGCTGAATGCAGAAAACTTTCCAAATCAGATGTTCGTTCAAAAGCTACCGGTAGCACTTGCATGAGATCAACACAAGTGGCAGAAAGAGACAAGAAGCAGCAGCAGCACATGAAAAGAAGGAAGCAAGTGTGATACATGTGCCATCACTTATAAAGAAGAAGAAAAAAGATCAACAGCTTCATTCACTTTTCAACCCAGTGTAACCCTGAGCAGTTTCCAGAGACAACCTCAGTCCAGTAAATTAAAATCCAATGACACATTAACAAAAGGTTTTCTTCAACACACTTGTTAAGGTGGGTAAGAATATAAAATTGTTATATAACAGAAGAATACAAATTAAAGAACTGATCATGGCATCTGAGGAAAAAAATAAATAAATTACACAGCACTAAAAGCATGAGAAATCATAGGGATTGCCGGAATGTTCCTGCACACAGTGTGAATATGTTTGGTTAGTAGATGGGATTTTAATGTCACTGGGTTGCCAGGAAAGAAAATGGGTTCCTTTTGATCACCTCTGGACTACAGGGTAATGGGAATACCGGCACCGAGTTTAGAAAGTTACTTGGAGCCAAGGCTACAGTCAACAATCATCATCATCATCATCATCATCACTGGAAGGTCACATTCACAGCCTTGTACTCTACAAGAGGCCATGGCATGCTGACGATGTTGTCAGCCTGGGTCCTATGAGAAAGGCAAGCAGGCATGGAGTGTTTGTGTCTATCTACTGGTGCATGCCTGTGTAGGTTGGTGGAATAACAACAAAAGCAACAACAATGTAGAACAAAGGCAGGCTCCCGCTGCACCCTGCTCCTGTAACCAAACACAGGACAAGCAGATCTATAGGAACAGACGACAGCAAAACACTAAATCTCAGGACAAATTCATATTTAGATCATCCTGGTGGGCTAAGACGTCAAAATCAAATAAGGAACAAATCCAAGAAGCAGTTAGTTTATAACCATGCCTTGAACGATGAGGCCCACATGTTTAAAAATACCTGAGGCAAAAAGCAAGATATGACCATGCAGGTCCACGTGGTGTCCATGTGATACTCAAGGATGGCTGTGTGTGTGTGTGTGTGTGTGTGTGTGTGTGTGTGTGTGAATAACCACCACACAACCAACCAGTGGGAATGGCTCAAATGTGAGTCTTGCCCACCAAAACAAACAACTAAACAGCCCAGCTAGCCAGGCCCATGTAGCCAGTGTGGAGCCTCCTAGACTTAGCGCAGCCCACCCTAACCATCCCCCAGGACTTCCCGAGCAGCCTGGAGTTCAGCCAGGTGGCTGGGTCACAGTTTGCAAGAGTCGTAGCTCAAAACAAACACCCCCTACTCAGCAACTCACCCACTGAGAAGACAACTCTGGTAATTCGCAACTCCATAGTCAGAAATGTGAAGCTGGAGACACCGATGGCCACAGTCAAATGTTTTCCTGGGGCCAGAGCGGGCGACATCGAATCCTATTTGAAGCTGCTAGGATACGTTTAAATATGGTAAGGTTGTTATTCACATCGACGCTAATGACTCCTGACTTCGCCAGTCGGAGGTCACTAAAATTAATGTTGAGTCAGTGTGTAGCTTCACTATAAGTGTTGGACTCCGTGGTTTTCTCTGGACCCCTGCCCAATCTGAGCAGTGACAACAGGTGGTGCCCAGAAAACGATGGGTTTCATAGACAAATGGAAAACATTTTTGGGAAAACCTGGTCTGATTAGTAGAGATGGCATCTGTCCAACTTTGGATGGTGCGGCTCTCATATTTAGAAATCTGGACGAGTTTATTTTACGACCTAAATTATGACAACCCAGAGTTGAAAAAGAAGGCAGTGAAACAGAGGAGGCCTCGTGGTACAGCTTGCAGCTCTGCTCCCTACAGCAGGCATTACTAAAACTGGAAGGAGGTGGCGCTCCACCAAGTCAGAAGAGTTTTTCCTAGCCTGGAAAGATAGTTTAACATATATATAAAAAAAAACAAGCCCTTCATAGTGCCAGAACCACATATTTTTCATCATTGATAGAGGAAAATAAGAAAAACCCCAGGTTTCTTTTCAGCACTGTAGCCAGGCTGACAAAGAGCCACAGAGTTGATTATCTTAACATTCCCTAAAATCTCAGCAGTAGTGACTTCACGAGCTTTACAAATAAAATCACAACCATTACTAAAAAAAATACAAACCACTCCCACAGCTCTCACAGATGTGTCATCAAGTACAACGGCTTTAGAAGCATCTGTAAGACCTCAGTTATATTTAGACTGCTTCTCTCTCATTGATCTCCGAGTTGACCTCAACAACGCATCTATACGCCACCACTACGTGTCACTGTGCGTCTCCTCTCTCCCATAGCGTGTCCTCTCTCTCTCTCTCTCTCTCTCTCTCTCTCTCTCTCTCAAATAAAACTACGAATTGAATTTACTTCTTTGTGTAAATCTAAACATCATAATTCTCCAAGCAAATACAGTGTCCTCTTCCTTCAACGTTACAACTAAGGCCCGGTGCCAGGAATATCTCTGTGTAGACACCGGACACCAAAAGTGGATCCCTGTGGACCTAGTGGAAGAAACCGACTCGCTAAGTGGTCAGAGTGAAAGACAACAGTGACAGTAAGAGCAACATTCTGGCACTGAGACACATGGATATGTACTGACCGGGGCATGCGTTTCTTGACCTTCCTAGAGGAAGCCCCATACTGCGAGGAAAAGCCTCATTTCCTGGCTTGAGACACTTTGTGATTTCCACAGAGCCTCACTGTCTATTTACAGTAACCGTGACAGAGTGAGAGGTTCACTGTGATAGACCAAATCACTGCATCCAACATCAGACTGAGCTAGACTGCACCACTTCTTCATGCCCCATACTTATTAACGGACCCTGGATCTAAAAGCGGCGATGATGGTTCTCAGCCTCTCAGTACAGTTGCACACCTACATTTGCACCAACAAACAAGCTTACAGTCACATGCATCCACAATTTGCAGAACAAGGTAGTCCATGTCAACTTTAGGGAGCATCACATGGTTTTGCTTTGCTTTGCTACCACTAATGTGTGTATTACACTGACTCTGCATATCAACACGAACCAGGACATTACTCCCATTGCCTTTGCTAGATGCAATCCACAGGAGCAAGAATAGCTTCACTCTGTGTTGTCAGGCCTTAGTCATTCCCACAGTTCTAGTTTGTAGTTTTAACCACAAACCTTCCTCACCGTCACTTTCTTCAAAATGGGTAAAGGCAGGTGCTTTATTAATGAGTTTAATTATTAACTATATGTAACAAAACAGCCAAGGAAGGGTGGCTCTGTTAACAATGTGAAATTGTGAAACCGATCTGCACAGCATGCACGGCCCTGTCTGTGTCACACTGAGTCACTGAACACAGGAAGATACAGTGTGTTTCAAACTCTTTTACCCAACTCAGAATTCTCCCTGGCAGTTTCAAAACAGTGAACATGTACTAATGTGTAAATGTAAGCCAATTATGGAGTTAATGAGGGAAAAATCACAAGATGAAAGAGATGGAAAAGAAATCATTTAGGATAACCATTACACTTCTGAGGCACATTTCCACTGAACCAAGAAATGACTACAGTACAGTAACACGAGGGTTAATATTTACACAGGCTGAGAATAAATAAAGCTGAACAAATATACAGCAGCTAATAGCAAAGCCTGCTCTACGCTGCCTGGGAACAGTAACTTTTTAATTTCCCTTGTTACTCTCTGGAGACACACAGTGAGCTTCAGTCAACGACCTGGCGTCCCACCGACACATGATGAAAGGAGAAACTACGGCTGCCCCCTGAAAGTCGACTAGTCAAATTCTTAGTCACGAAGCCTGTTGGTCAGCTGAGACTCTTCTAGTCAAACCTTTGTTTTTATAGTTTTTGTCGGCCAGTGTGCATTACAATATAAAGGAGCCACAGCCCGCATTAGTTTGTCTTCTTCTCCTCCTCATTTTGGTGTCAAGCAACAATCTACTTAATACTTGAACTAATTGAATTAATACTTCGATTAGTCGAAGAGTCATGCTGATGAGCCAACTGACAAAACTCTTAGTCAGGTACAACCCTAGGAGAAACAGTGTGGACACTGAGCACTAAACACTACAGACACATCTGGATTCATGTTCCCTATGCTTAGTACAGTGTGACAGCTCTTTTGAATCTTTGAGACAGGATGTTAATAAATTCTGACAAGCCTGAGAGCCTCCACTTCAACCTGCTGCGAGTGCCAACTCTTGGTCAGTCATATACAGTGACACAGTACCGTCACATGCAGGGCTGTGTGATGAAACTTATGATGATTATTTCTAAAAAAAGATCCAAATTAATGTAACACATGTTGTTGAAACCATAAAAATGAGCGACCATGATGGTTGTGGAAAGTATAGAGTTATTGGTTAAAAAAAAATAAAACTACAAACCTTTTTGTAAGATTCAATCCTAAACTGAGTAGAACACTTTCAATTTAAAATCAAGTTTCCTTCCTTTTTCCTTTATAAAAACAAAAACAACAAAAAAGACCGTGCATCATGATGAACTGTTGCCACACAGCATGCCATTTTGAAACTACAGTCGTCACCTGGTTACCCTAAAAAACTAGGATATCACTTGCAACAGGAAAAAGCATTTGACAAAGTCCAGGTTAAAGCTTCTCATCTGTTCCAAGTTGTCAACAGTGAGTCAACCTTTAGGTCAACACACAAATCCAGGAAATAAACTCCTAGATTGAAGAGAAGCATTCAGCAGATGCCTGACATCTGAGTCATAGCTAATAGCCCATATCAAATGCCAAACTTCTCAAAACTGCATGAGATTTTGATAAAGGACGAAAGGCGGTGACAGAATGCCTGTGGACGTACAAACACAACAGTCTGTCTCTTGGCTTTTGGTAAGCAGCTTGTCCCAGACGTATGGATTCTGATTATCTATTACAGCGTTCAACGAAATCATGGCTTAGTGTTAATAAAATGGAAACCAAAAAACTTTGTTCAGGTAAAACTGAAGCAGCATTTATATTAAAACCTTCAGACAGCACTGCAGCAACTGGAGACACTTGTACAGGAAACACTGAAACAGCATTTTAGCTCCTGTTTAAGGTTCCTGTGAGATTTCAGTTTGATCCCACATCAGTTGTTCCCTCAGGCAAGTCCAACCAAATGTAAAGCTTATTTTCAATCAGCAGTGGATTATGTTTTTGCAGCATGTGTTGTCACTGATTGAGTTTAGAACAAAGCAAACTCAGTGAATTTTATCAAGTTGTGTATTTGTCATGGCTGATCTTTTTGGCCAAAGCTGATTATGCAATTCTTCAAACTGTCAGTGGTTACACAGACTGTGAAGACAGATTTATCAGTGAGTTCGTGCATGGATGTCAACAATTATTGATCTATAATAATTTAATCTTGTTCCCCCAAACTCCTGGGCTGACTCCACAACTATAGCCATTTTCACACGTGAACTATATCCACAGAATCAGGCCCGGACTTTGTCGAGAGTTGCCCGCTCGCACAGAGTCCGTGCCAAATGTGTTCTTACCTACTGGAAATACTCCGTTTAGTTTACGCACAAGGGGTGCGCCTGGGTAGAGAACACATGAGGTGGGACATGACACGGTCACCTAGCCAGTTTGTAATTTGGTCACAAAAACCTAGTGTCTTGCCTTGTCTGACGATTCTGACGCCGGCTCTTAACGACAAAAGTTCCTGAATCATGTTAGGTCTCCATTCTGATATTTTCATTGGTGTCTTCACCGTAAATGACCTTTTTCCTTCACCACTGACCGTTAGTTTTCTTCCAGTTCCACACCGAACACATGACAGAATGTCATCAACACGCCCACTAGCTCCATGTGAATACTCCAGACTATACCTGCTGTATTTTCACACGGGTTCACTCCAGCTCACTCATACTAGGGAACTGGCAGCGTAAAGTCCGCTTAAGGTCCAATTCAACTGACTCAGACATTTGCATTCTCACCTACAGCTCCCCCGGGTAATGTCTAAAGAATTTCAGGATTCCAGTGCATGTCTGAAAAGGGCTTATGTTAACTTTGCAAAAAGCAAAATACTTGTTGCAGCTAAAAAAAACAAAGCAAAAGGAGAAGGTCAAGACTCGTTAGCATTCCTCATGTGTCAGTCATTCTCATTCCATTTGAAAACCGTGCGGCACATCATTTGTGGTAGCAGAAGTACTGCAGTTATCATGCACCCAAAATGCCTGAACCCGGCTGTTTTTGAATGGGAGGTCAAACCAGGGCATCAGGTAGAAGTGGCTGTGTGCCACAGCAAGTTTAACATAGGGATGGCTCCCCCTCTCTTAGCAAACAATCTTCTTACACCATCCACAATGCTCATTTTGAAAGGGCCAGTATTGCACAACTTTTAACAGACACAGACTGCTACTTCTAGGAAAACGAATCTCAGCGGTACTCACGGTAATAATGGCCTTGCTGAGGCAGAGGGAACCCCGGCACCCGTACTCCGTCTCATCCTGAGACTTGTAGTAGCTGAGTGTGTTGTTTTTCAGCACCACCCAACGGTCCTGCCAGCCATGAAGGTAGTTTGTCCACTGAAAAATAACCAGTGTTGGGGTCACAAGAAAACGAAACCACACAGATCAACAAAGTTACACAATATTAGTCTTTATTAAAATGCTGCTGGATTAGGTTAATCAGACTGGAGAGCGGCTTCCATTTTTTTGGTAACAAAGCCTGTGTTCCTCATCTGAGACGCTTCCTTGAGTTAATACATGTCAGATTTTATATAAAATCATCCACAGGACCCACATCATGTAACTGAACGGGTGAACTGTTCTAGATGTGCTGAATCTCTGTTTGCTTGGTTAGCAAGTCAGCATGCAGTCTGTTCAGAAACAACCAGTGTACAGTGAGATTAATGGCAATTTAACGGATTAAAATTGTGGTCAATTGCCCAATGCATCTCGCACAAGTGAGCAGAAGCATATGACAGGTTAGTAAGACTTGGTCTAGCACAGGAACAGAGCTGTTTACACTGTGCTCCCTTAAGGAGCATAGTCTACTTGTAACAGCTTCAAACTAGGAGTGAATGTTCTCTGCACCTTGCATACAGTTGTCAAATGAATACTTCTTGAAACACTGGACATTTACATACTGTGCTCAAACATATTCCTCTGCCAACATTGTTATCATAGTAGACATGGCACAGGATTGTGCAGAAGGCTTGTGTTTAACCTTAAAAAATAAGCTCATCATTAGGACCAGAAAAGACTTGTAACCGTTTTGAGGGATGTTAGCACAGTGTAAACTACCGGCTCCCAATATTTACATTGATAACAGATTTACAGCTTTGCGCAAACAGTGCATGGCCAGCTGATCATTGGACACTTGTGTATCGCTGGTGCACAGCCCTGTCATTAAACAAATACACAACTTACAGTGTTACATAGGGGCTTTCTTTTCGCTTAAGTGGGGATTAACGGTTTCATATTGCTGAGCAGCAGTGTGGAAATGCTGTTAGAAGATCCCGGAAAACCCCTTCCTCAAACAGGCATGATTTGTCATGACAGCCCCTCCCTGACATTTCTGCCCCATGCACTGACACATCGGACGGATGCATAAACTTGGAGGAAACCGAGTTGGGTCAAAACGGGACCTACCTTACTGAGGACGCCGCTGAACTCGCCGATACAAACAGGATGTCCTGGCTCCTCTCTGGGCTCTAAATCTTCGTCGGAACCGGAGGAGTTCCAGCTCTGGTTATCTGACATTTCCTTAACGCTTTACAAGCCGAGTATAAAAATAGGATGAACTTGGTGTGTAACGCTGAGGTTTCCTTTGCATTGGCAGTATTAGATCTGGGAGATAAGGAAATAAACGGCAATAGGTCACCAAATCATGTTTTGTTATTATCAACTGACTAATCGCTCTCAGTGCAAAATGAGTTAATTCAAACAGCTAAAGCCAGCTGCAGCTGGCTACGCATATCTGTGGAAAATCAGCCCAGGTGTTAAGTTAGCGGAGTCCGCACACCGCTAATTAGCTGTCAACTCTTCCGCCCCCTTTTCTTCGGCGTGTACTGAGTCCCAGAAGTGACAGAAGGGAACAGAATGTAAATACCGGGGCTCAGGTAGTCCGTCGACGACTTTCAGCAAAGCATTGTGGTGGTTGTTTTCCTCTGTAGTCTGGTGACAGCCATGTTCTTCAACGGCTGGAGCTTCTTCTTCTCCTCGGGGTGAGCGCGTGTTCTAACTTGTGTCTGCGTAGGGGCGCTGGCCAGTGTGACGTCACCAAAACGTTTCCCAATTTGGAACAAGGCTCCTCCCCCCTGTGTGTTGCTCTGAAAATAGTACTAGAAAGGAGTAGAGCTCGACAATATACTGTGGAGTACTAGAAATTAAATCAGGAGACCGAAAGTGTGCAAAGTGCAGTGGTCCAACTGGTGCAGCTGTTAGCATAATTTAGCTTTAACCTACTGGGAGGAGAGCCCTGAGTCAGGGATGGTTCACTGAACTGGTCTACTGAGCACAGACACAGGGTCCAAGGAGTCAGGAGGCCCTAGACCTGAGACCTCTTCAACAGAAAGTCAATCAGACGACTACAAAATAACTCCAAATGCCACAAAGTGAGCAACAATAAATGCAATACAGCTACAAAGCTATACAAACCCTGAACATAAATAAAATGACAAAGACAGCAAAACCATTACAAAAATATACAAACACAATGAGACACAAAACAAAGAGTAAAATAAGTAAATAAAACAAAAGAAATAAAAATAGATGTAAATGACAGCAATGGGTAAAAACAGATACTAAACTACTACAAACAGTCAGAATCCAACCAAAAGAAGACATAGGCCCATGATAAATCATGGTTGCTCAATCTGTGAGGCAGGAGCCTTTTACATGTCTGCGCTCACTATCACATAATCCATCCATTACATTGCATTCCTCACCACAACAAACAATGATTCATAATTTCAGCTCATTTCTAGCTGTCCCAGGAGCAACAAATAGCTGCTTTGCCCAGGTGATTTGTTAGTATTTTATTTTTTTTTATCTAACTATGCATAGTTTAATAACCCCTGAAAACCTGCTTTCACATTTTACATATCTATTACATGCTCACGTGACTTTTAACAAAAATACTAGTTATGTTCTAAATGTCTTAATGATGAAATTCTTGCTACTCTGTTTGATAAAACACATTGAACAGTCATGCTTTATTCTTTCAGTCCACCACAAAATTAAATAGGATTTATGTATTAATATAGCCACAAATGATAGGCTTGGCATTTTTTGACTCATCTAACTTTTTTAAAGATTTAAGCCTGCATACTTGTCTACCACCATTTCTGAGGGAGAGAAATAACACAATTGAATTAATAATTAATAAGTAATTTGGCTTCAAAGCTTGCAAAGAGTATACACCTGTTTTTTATTCTCTCAAGAATTTTTCATTTTGTTTACTTGCCAATGTTAATGTGGCCAGTAGGACAACTTGGTTAAAGTAAATACATCAGCCTGCATCACTCTTTTTACCACAGGTTCAGTCTGGGCTTAAAAATGATAAAAATACTTTGCTAATTTGCTGAAATACACAGCCCAATAAAATACATACTGTACAAAATTGTGCATAACAAAATAGCCATCAGCCATTATACTCAAATTCCAGTTTAACGCATATTATATTAATAATATTAACTCCAAAATACTCTGCAACACAACACATTCAGTAGGAACAGGTTCCCTCTCTGTCTCCTGCCCTGACAATAAGCCTGTACCAGTCTTATGTTAGCTATGAGTCATGTCATAATCTTTACAACACACACACACCTTGTCTTACTAAATTCAAACACTCATGGTTCACTAACAGGAGAGAAGAGCTTTACGCCATGTCATGGGTTTTGTGAGTCTGATGCAGTTCCATGAAGTCATGAGACTTGGAAACGTAAAAACCACAAGACAAGTATTAGCTGCATGTCTCCTTCACTACAAGGAAACGCCTGAGCTAAGCTTTCAGACAAAGCTCCATTAACAGGGTTTTTAAAGATACTGCTACCACACTGAACTTACCATAGTCGGTATACAGTATAAACATATGTGCTGTGTGTTGAAGGTGTTATTTTTGTTTTGGGGGTTCCAGGGGTCACACATTAACAGTACTATGCACACCAGATGTGATAAACATGTTGTACAGGAGTCCATCATAGTAAAGGTGAAAACAAGTTAAGGCCCTTATCTCAGAATTTACCAGTGAAATCAGCTCTGCTCTAGCCCCGGAGCCATTGGCTTCGTCTCACATTAAGTCTGTGAAAATCCAGACAGTCACTTGGCAATGTGGCCGTGCTCCTGGATAGGATGTCAGCAGCTGATTCAATCATTGTGACATGCAAATTGTCCCTGACTTAGTGGCTCTGTGATTCATTTAGAGGCCAGGAGTCAAGGACCATGACTCAGGCAGGGCTGATCATGAAGTAACGTGATTAAGTAACATTCTCTTTGATGCTTTATGTTCCACATGGCTCAGCAGCTCTGAGTGGGACAAGGGGAAGGAAGCACAAGAATGGGTTGTGTAACTTCATGTTGGTATCACACACTTCCTTTTGGAAGACGTATGACTTAGTGCAAGCTCAGGTAAAACACAGACGTGCATGCTTCTTTGTCTGTGCTGTTTGTGGCATTTTTCTCTTTTTTTATTTATGCACTTTTCTTCTTTAATGAAATTATAAACTATTATTACTATTATTGTTGTTTTAATTTTCTTATTGAAAAAAAAAAGACTTTCTGGTCATCCAGTGAAGAAGCTCTTGCACTGTACCTCTTATATAAGGTTAGTTAATTATGGTTAACTATTGTTAGCAAATTATTTATGAACATGAATTTTTATTTATTTTATTTTATTTTTACCAATTTGCCTTATTGTTATTGAAACAAGGTAATACTGCCCAGTAGCGCTCTCATTCTACTGCACCTGTATGGGAGATTTGAAATATGTAGGAATTTAAAAATGCTTTCCCACTTTAAAAAAAATCTAAATGATATTTAGTTAATTATTTATTTTAGGATTTATCTCTTTTACTTTATTTATTATTGATCGTTGTTTCTCCTACCGACCCATGTATGTGGACCTGTGGCTTGACTAATGATTTTGTCTGTGTTTTTGAAATTGTGTGTATGGATTGGATGAGCTGTAAATGAATCACCCCCTTAGGATCAATGAAGTTGTCTAAATCTGAATCCAAATGTAAGTTTGGCTGTTTTACAGCAGCTGCATGTGGACGTGACGGCCGAGCAGTGGTATCAGGGAGGACAGTCTCAGCAGAAGTCTTGCATAAGAAACCTCAGTAAAGGCTGGAGCAGCGTGTTTCTGCATCGTGAGCTTGTTGTGCCCTCTGCTGGTGGCTGGTGCTGTTAGACACATACTGTAAAAAGATGTGTGTGGTTTCATCTCATTAAGGTGTAGCAGCTGCACCACTAATCCTGACCCCATCCCATGACATCTCATACCTGACGTCTTGGAAAGAGTCTCCAGGAAACCAGAAGGCCAATTTGAAGTGTTTTCAAGCTGTTTCAAGCTGTTTGTGTCAGCATATGTCATGTTGTGCATGTGTGTGGCCTAACTGGAGGGCACCACATGCTCCCCAGTGTGAAAGCAAACCTCTTGCATTTCTATATGCTCATTAGTCCACTAATAACAGATTGTACAAAATATTTAATGTTATATTATTTCACTTTTAGATGTGCTTAAAGTTCAATTACTTGCTGATATTTTGTGACTTGCTGTGGATTTGAATTCCACTACAAAGATGAAAAATAAAACACAACACTAAGAAGGCAGGCAAAGTTTTTGCCTTTGTGCCATAAACGTACAGAAATGTCTGATGCTCTGAGCCCAGTTTAATTAAAAGATTGTTCAGCCTTTAATGTAGTTACAGTAAATATACAGCATCAGCTTTGTCAGCTGTTGGACTCTTTATAGTGACATAGGACAGAAGAGATAGCACCCTCTGTTGGCCAAGCCCAGATACCGTCCTGATCATTTTTGTTTTTATACAGTATTACTTCTCTGTGGTACACCTTTTCCCTCGTTCCCCCTTTTCTCTTTTAATCCTTTACATTTGCAAGATTAAACCTCTGAACTACACACTCACATGCACACAAAAACACCATAGGCATATTTATATAAGCTATCTTTGATATCTGTGCATCACAAAGAGGTGAGAATGGAGAGAAAAACAGTATTATACACAGCAGCCAATGGGAGTTTCCATGGTTTGGGCTGAAAGGCAACAAGATCATATGGATATTACAAAGTGGGTCCAGTCAGATGGATCAGTGTGGACTTGGTGTCCAGCCAGTTTTTGTCCTCGCTGCTCTCATGTCTAGACAGATGAAAAATATTTGCCTAGAGTGGCTCTAGTTTCTTCCTCAGCAGCGGAAGGAGAGCTCTGTTGAATATGATTTCAGTTGTTGCAGCTCATCTTCTCAGTTCAAGCGCACCTGCTCAACAACCTGAAGTCAGGAAAAGTTTTAATTAAACGAATAAACACTTACTCTATTTTGAGTAAGTGTCAAAACAGTGGCTTAGGAATAGAAATGAAATGAGCAGACTTTCAGTGTGTTATAGGCATTTAGTGCATTTAAACACAAAGAATTAAGTTATACATGTTTATGTAACTATATTAATTACAATTATTTATCTATCTGTTATTTTTTCCTACAGTATAATGTAAGAATAATTGTTCAGGCCTCTCAAAGCACAACTCAACAGACAGTCCTTCAAGTACATGAAGTGTATGAAGAACTCTTTTATGGCAAGATACTGTACATAGTCTTATTCTAAATCAAGATACATGACTTATTGAACATTTCCAGACAGATGAGTGATGATCTCTAAGACGGTCCCTTGAAGTGCCCAGAGAGAAAAACATCCACAGACGGCGCATTTTTCAAACAAATGCTGTCATCCCACCTCATTAGTTTTCACTGCTGCTCTTTAGTTATGAATTGAAAAATGTCAGAGGAGCACAGTTTTTTTCCTCCATAAATTGGAATATAGTGTCTGGACTGCTGCTGCAAATAGGAATATAAAAATGCACATTCAGTTGGTCTAAACTTTCAGTCACTCTCACCTCCAGTATGGCATGATAAAAACATACTGAGTGAGCCAGCAGCCTCAGTAGGACTAGTGGTGAATGTAAATGGAAAAGCTGGTAGAAAGAGAGCTATCTGTTGGAATGGGGTGCTCAACTGTTGGTATGACAACAATAAACAAGATGGTGTTGAGCCTCTATCAGCCAC